TTATATCTTATTCTTTATAGCATGAAACCTTGGCATGATTATACAGGTTTGTGAAAACTATGAAAGCATTATTCCTAGACAAGGGTTTTCTCATAATAAAACAAGCTCTCATTAAAGAGGGAAGCCATTTCTCACCTCCCCGAGTACAACGATCATCTTAACTCCTGGGGTGACTTGGTAACGCAGCACATGGTCAGTAAACACAGAGCCTGGATATCTGGAGATAAGATCAGCAGCAGCTCAAACATACACGCTTAAAATAATTCATATACACCGACTGGCCACTTTATTAGGTACATCAATAGATTATTTACACAAAGAGTGAAACGGCCAATCAAATGGCTGCAAATCAGCATCAAGATGTGGTGAAGACAATTTGCTGAAGGTTAAATCCAAGAGCAGAAGGTGGCAGGAAGCGTGAATTTAAATCGCCTGGTTAATGATGCAAGGGTATTTTAGAGAGCCTTTGATCTATTCGCATTTTTATGCACAACTGTCATTAAAGAAAATTTTAAAAATATCTAAAGAGAAGGAGGTATTTGGAAGGAATGTTTGGTTTGTGTTCAAAGAGACTTGAGACTCTTGAATAAGATGTTAGAAAGGGATCAGTACTTTATGAACTGCTTCTTACATCCGAGGCAAAAAAAGATTTAATTCTTCATGCAGAAAGCAAAAAGACAACAGTATATAGATGGGTTAAAGCAGCAAAAGAGTGGAGTGGAAAACTAATACTAACGATTATATATGCTCACCAAAATCACAAGTTAATTTCTGTATTGTGAGATCAATAATGTTCTATTGTATTGTATTCTGTTCTATTCTATTTATATGGTTAGGACATTTCTGCAGTGCCAGTGTAATAATCCAAATCAGCTACTTAGTAGTCTTCCCGTAGCTCCCTACTGTGCAGATATTTTTATATCTAAGGGAAACACATTCCAGGACATTACAACTTTTTTTAATGTTTCTTTGTATTATATACACTCTTTTTATGCTGTCTGTTTTATATTAATGGCATCTTGCTTTATCCCTGCCTTCTTTACTCTACTGGAACCAGAAGTTCACTGTAGGAGTAATCACAAGGGATAAATAAAGTTGAGTCTAAGTCTAAGTATATTTTAATGTATTGTATTGTATTGTATTGTATTCTACTATATTCTATTCTACTACAATCACACAATAACAGATGAGACTCCATTCAATGAGTCTTGAATGCAACCGCAACATTCAGTTTTTTATGATGCAGGTTAAAAAACAAACCACTGGACTTTTGTTTCGCCAAGTTTGAAGATGTTTCGCTTCCCATCCAGAAAGCTTTCATAATTCAAATTGTCTGGGGTAGTTTGGACACTCCAGACATTTTGAATCGAGGAAGCTTTCTGGATGGGAAGAGAAACGTCTTCAAACTTGGAGAAAAAAAGTCCAGTGGTTTGGCTTTCTCACTTTATTTGGAATGAATATGACCTGGATGACTGAGATTCTTCAACAGCGTTATGTTGCATGGACCAGGGAGTATCAAATAAATATCATTAAGGGGTCAAAGCCCTCTGATTGTACCTGAACAACAAAATTACAGCGTACCCATCTCCTTGTGGTAACCTCCAGCAGGATGACGCTTCATGTCACAAAGCTCAATTAACTTATACTGGTTTGTTACTCTGACAACCTTCACTGTCAGAAGTTCTCAATGGTAAATGGTAAATGGCATGGACTTATATAGCAACTTTATTCAAGTCAGGAGACTTGACCAAAGCGCTTTAAACTACATTCATTCACCCATACACTCACACACTGATGGTGGCAAGTTACATTGTAGCCACAGCTGCCCTGGGGCTCACTGACAGAAGCAGGGCTGCCGTACACTGGCGCCACCGGGCCCTCTGACCACCATCAGTAGACAATGGAGGTGAAGTGTCTTGCCCAAGGACACAACGACAATGAAAGTCGGAGTCGGGGCTTGAACCGTCAATCCTTCGATTTCAGGGCAAACTCCTACATCTAATGCCACTGTCACCCTGTCATCAATCCAGTAGAGCCCTTTTGGGATGTTGTGGAGTTAAAGGTACATATCATGGATGTGCAGCAAACTACCCCTTACACCTTTGTGATGCTATTGTGTTAATATGGACTAAACTCTCTAATGGCAAATGAAAAATTCAAGAATTTAAGTACATAGTCAAAAAAAAAAAACATGATCGTAACTAGCAGGAGACATTTGTGTCTAATAAAGTGGCTAGTGACCAATCTAAACGTACACACCTGTCCCCACCAATGGCCACGCCCTCATAAACCCCATCAGTAGTGCGGGAGATGATGTTGTTGAGTTCATTGGACATGCCGCCTGAGCGGGACACATAGGCCACGCTGCCTGGACGATACAGCTTAGAGGCAAGGATATTGTCCAGCATGCCTCCAGTGTTGCCGATCTTGAAGCAGCCCGGCTTTATCCCTCCAACCTAAATAAAAAAAAACATCCTGTAGTTTTTGTAGACAGAGACATCACAGACTTATTCAAAATGATCCAATGAGAAAGGATGGAAGACTTACTGTAGCTGGGCCGATGACAGTGACCCCCTTCTCATCTGCAGCTTTAATGATCTTCCTTGTGTGTGCTTCCGGGATTCCCTCGGCAATAATTGCAATAGTTCGAATCTGAGAGTTACAGAGAAGGGCTTCATTTATTCTCTTTAACGGAGACAACTTCTTTATTATGCTGCAGGATAATATTTACCTGAGGGTACTGCATGGTCTCCATGGTGCTTTCAAAGGCTGAGCGCAAAGAAGCAAAGCTAATGAGAACATCCACATCCGGGTGCTTCTTCATAGCATCACTCATGTTTTTATACACCGGGATGAGGATCTCTTTATGGCCCCAGTAGAATTTCTGTTTGTGGTCGCCACTGGAGGCCGCCCAAGCACAAAAATATTCATGACACACCCGTCAAGCTTCATCTTCAAGAATTTAGTAGGAAAGGAAGATTACCCTTACGTGAACGGGTAGATCAGAGCGGAGACGGATGGCTCATCTCTGGAGCAGACATAGTCAAAGTCCAGCATGCCCTGAACCGCTCGAGTCTGCATACCCCACACCAAAGCCTTTGTGTGTTTGGTGAAAAGAGTAGTGGCCTTGGCTAGAGAGAAATAAATCACTTAAAGATAGAAACTGACAACATAAAATCTGGTAAATGTGTTACGGTAGTAATTTCTATACAGAAACTATTCAGTATGTCCTTGTGTGACTTTGTTGATATGAATATCATAATTGTTTTGAATGGGTTGTAGTTTGTTCATGCTGTCAAAAGAGGGAGCCCTAACACCTTAGCTCTAAATTTTTGATATGTTTTTTCTGATGAGATATGATAGTAGGAGAATTCAGGGTTAAAATGTTTTCCAGTGCGATGGTTTGGAAAGATACTCACCGACAGGAGCTCCAGTTTTCACCTTCTTGGCAGGGGAGCCCTCAACTTTAGCTTTGTTTTCAGAATGGACCTTTCTCCTGGAGGATGGAGTCTACAAAAACAGAACTAGAAATAAAGTCTGATGCCTACTGTATACACTCCGAACCTAATAATGGAGCAGAGAAACATCAGGCCTTTAGGCTGCCTTATAAAACCTGCACTGGACATCCACTCTGTGTTTTAATATTCTTCACATGTCATTTCTCAGAAGGATGACTTGCACATTTGCAGGCCTAAACTAAAAGGTTTAAAATATATTTTTAATATATACAATTTTACTGAATACATATATATGTTTTATATATTTAAGGCAAACAACTGTCTAAAAAACAAACACCTGAATAGGCACAAACACACTTTGCAGAAATCCTCCACTGTGCACATTTTTAATGGAAGCCTCAGGGGGAAACTGCATGGCTCTGCTGACTGAATAAGAGCGGTGTGCAATCCTCTGCAGTAGCCTGACACAATAGAGCCACTGGGCTTCTAATAATCTGACTCACTAAAAGGAGGAGACAGCAGGGGGCTAAAACAGTGGCCGCTGTGCCAGTCCTTCATTCGCCAAAACATTGTATGCAACTGGAAAAGTTTTGTAAAATGTTGATGCAGCGTGTGTCAGCGAAGCTGAGAGCGTGTCGTACCGATGTGCTGCTGCTGGAATTGAGGAGGAAGTTGGCTGTGTGTGCAGCAACAGGAGGCTGGTTGGGAATTGGGCGGTGACCCAATGCCATGCCAACGATAGCAGTCATGTGGGTTTCTGTGCCAAAAACATGAATTGGGATCCCAGTGGTTTTCCCTGTGAATAAATCAGTGTCAGGATAAAAAAAAAGCTTTAATTACCAGACAAATGATATTAAAGAAATATAGTAAACAGCAGGAAACAAGAACTGACCAACTTCTCCCATCACCCTGAGACCCTCCTGGTAGTTGGGGCCTCCACGACGAACGAAAATAGTGACCTCATGCTCCTTCAGTGGCGCCTGATAGTCTCTAATAGCTCGAACAATTCCCTGCACCAGACATAAATAAGCTTGGTGACTAATCTCTATCAGAGAGGTACTAAAGTAAATGCAGTCACAGAGCCTTCCATGCTTCATAACGAATAAAAGGCTTTAAAAATAGTTTCTGGTTGCTGTACAAAGGTTATGGATCTCCAAAAATGTCACTTTTGACTGAATAAACAAACTGATAATAAATAAAATATTAAATAGGATTAAAAATATAACTGTTTTAAGATAATAAAAACATCAAAACATATATGGAGCATCTTATGAATAAAAGTGTTCAGTCATTGTTTTATTTCACAGCCATGTGCAGCCCATTGAAGTCTGTTATTTGACACAAACAAGATTTGTGTCAAATCTTTAAAGACACACAGTCGCAATGTACATTATTTTAAAAGATAGAAGATTTTTGAAAGTAATAAACACCGAAAGAAATATGATTGTTACATTTTTATAAAGGTTTCACAATCCCAATTATTTTTACTATAATAACAATTACTGCATACTTGGTCTATTCAAATGTTTACAGGAAAAATGAATGTCTTCTTATAACAAATATGTTTACTACTAATATGACCTGCTTATTTATATAAATCTAAAAATAACTAATCAAATGATAACAATATTGCCAAAAGTTATTTTTTTTATAGATAATTTTTTATGTTAAGTTGACCCGAGTGAATATTAGTGATCAATGACTTCCTGGTTCTCTTGGTGAATAAATGACATCAGGACCCAGGATGGATGATTAAAAGAGATTTTGCAAAGAAGATTAGTAAAAAAAATCTGTTTAGGCACAAATTATTTTAAAGTGTTTAAAAAATGGAGGGTTTGTTAAAAAAAAAAATTTTAAAAAGAGGGTTATAAAAATAGTGCCAGCCAAAAAAGATTTAGAATATGTGATTTTGTATGTAAAACTATCATTTCTTAATGTGAATTTCTTAATTTTTTTTTCCATTGAATGAATTTATTTTAAATAAAAGTTAGATTGTGCAAATAAGTTAAGGAGAAAATTAATTTACAGACATAAAATAGTGTGAAAGGGGGGATGCAATTATGTACCTTAAATGTTGCCGCTACGTTTGTGAAGTTTGCAATGCTTCCACCAATGATCAAAACCTTTCCTAGAATTTGATAAAACACATGATTTATAATGATCATAAAAACGAGAAGTGTCTGAATTCATATTGCAGAGAGAAATGTGACATTTTCCTACCATTAGGGTGCTTCTCTCTTGTCATCAGAGACAGGATGGTCTTTGCATAGTCGTACGTCTGCTGTTCACTGGGTGCTCCTGAATACTCACCGTAATTGGCCAGCTCGTCCACTCCCCCCAGGTCACAGATTGTATCACTGTGATTTTTTTTTTTTTATTCACACAAATAAAAAAACGGCAATATGATAAACATATTTTGAGATTGATTTAAAAGAAAAAAATGTGTGCACAGAAACATTTTCCATCTGCCTGGAGCTCATGCTTCTCTGTAAACAGATAAAACTGTGCACACAGGGAGTAATTAGTCACGGCTGATATGTCTGTATGTAATGCTTATGCATCCTCAACAGACGGCAAACCATTTATTTCTCCTGAGTCTCTCTAAAAAACAACATTTAGAAATCTAATTTAGCAGACAGTTGAATGCTCTCTGAATGCTGAGTCAGAGATTATAAATGGAGGAAAGAGGCTGGTCATATTTAGGCCAAAAATAAGAAACGTTAAAAGTTTCAGTGAGTAAAGACGTGGTTTTGCTTTTCTTTTTTAAGGGTTTTAAATAGATTCTTGTTCAGGTACCTGTACACAACTGAGGCACCTCCTCCTGCCACCATGGTCCAGATTCTTCCACGAGGATTCAGCAGAGTCAGTTTGAGACTGGCACCGCTTTTTGCATCCAGATCAGCAATGTACGCTTCCTGAAAAATATGATCATCTTTACTCTTAGTTGAAGCAGGTTGTTACATAAAACCCTAATTAGATTATGGCCAAAATGTGCAGCATTATAACTGCTGTGAAAACACTGATGGTTGATGCGACACACATCACCAGTTGCTTGTGACAGTTTTGTCCACAGCTGGTGGTTCAGTTGAAAATAAATAAATAAAAAACCTAGCTTCTAATCAGAGACACCCGCTGTCCCTGGTTTCTGCTCTCAAGCTCACAGCAGCCCAATTAGTCCAGACCTTCTGCTACACAGACAGACATCCCTCTGAAATGTGTCCGCCAACAACAGACAGACAACATCACAAATACTGCTTTAACGATATTCACCGTCTATGTTAGCAGTAAGGAATTGAAATTTGGTGATTAATGCAGTAGGACTGGTTGGAAACATAGAATTTTACTGATCAATTTATACATAAGCAAGTTGTTTGTTTACATTCTTTATCATTTTCAAAGAAATCATAATGCTGTCACGTTACAATCCTAAAGAAGGATACACATTAAAATAACGTTAAAAAAACAAGGCTACTTATAGTGTTTTAAACGCTGGTTCACTCCTTTGGGATTTTTATCCAAAGGATGTCTGCCACAAAATATAGATATTCTATGGAATATAACAGAATATGTAATGTTTTCCTAAATAAAAACCTTACGTAATTTCTTATTAACTTAAGAAACTTTTTTTTTTTTAGTGTGGAAAATTGTAAATGTTTAACATGCACTATATACAAGGTTTATTTTTTTTATAATCTTTAAAATTTCGTAACAAAAACAGCTTTTATGTGATTATAAATTTTATTAATGAAGGTGTAATACCTCCAATGGCCACTGGGTGCTTGCTCTAAAACATTTACCACATTATTCACCACCTATGAAGGAAGTAAATGGTGAGCCTCACCACAACTTTACCCTAATTTGCAAAGCCATTTTGTCCTTACAAAGAAAACTTGTTTTGGTGTCTAAAAGTACTAAACTCATACCCACAAGAAAAAATCTACATTATGAGCAACTTCTTTCCAGAAAATATTGTTTTCTATAGCTATATAAGCATATGTACTTACATTAGACTGCGAATATTGAAGAAAATAATTTTGAACATCATCATCAAAGAATGAACCATAAGTTGGTACAAATTGAACCATGGCCCAAGCAGAAAACACCTCAGTTTTGTATGCAAACAGTCAGGTAAGAAATGACTAAAACTGCAAAACCACCAAATATAAAGGAAACAACTGAACAGCAACCAAAAGACAAACAAGACAAAAAGAAAGTCAGACAACAAAACAAAAGGCATCGGGGCTGCAGCTTGCTGCTTTTAGGGGTGAGTATTGGCATGCATGTTGCGATATGATACGTTTCACGTGGTTCACAATATGATATTATCACGATATTGCAATATCACTATTTATGGCAATAATTTACCAAGCTATCAAAAAGGAAATAAAGAGATAAAAAGCAAGTACTGTATATGTTCACAAGAATCCATGTTGTTTGGGGTTGTACTGTGACTGCCCCAACAATAGATATGGTGCTGCGCTGCAGAGCAAAATGGCTCCACGGCGCCATCTACCAGAGTAGCGGTGCAGAGGTAACCCAGTTTCCCTCACTGTTTTAGGTTAAAATGTTTTACGTTTTTTTTTAATGGAAATTAGTAACTGAAAGATTGATATCATATTGGGCAGACATAAATCTCGATATATCCCCAAATAGATTTTTTTCCACATCCCTATTCACCACTGCATTCATTTAAAGCATTTTTTCTTCTTTATTTTGCATAAATCTATTTAGAAATGATAAGACAAGGTTCTCTTCATCATAGCCCCTACTTGACATCCTCTGCAGGCCTTTTTTCTGTATGGTTTCTACATTTTCACCTTCTTACCTCAGGGTAAGCCTCCCTGCCGAAGGGGGGAGGGAACTCCACGTCACCCCACTTGGATTTGCAAATGTAATCAGCAGTTGCATCAATCTTCGCTGCCATGTCCAGCACATACACTCCATCTTTAGTCACCACTAACACAGGAAGGAAACAACATGTTTAGATTTGTTTCTTTATCTATAGAAACTGGCTGAGTTAACAGATAGAACAGGTGACTCAAGGCCTTCTTGTTGTCCCAGCAGGAGGCTGAGGAAGTGAGGATGAGGAGGAAGTGGCAGGTTATCAAAGCAGCAGCGGAGCCACGTCAACATGAACAGCTGCCACAGGGCATGTACTGCTTCCCAATGACTTCATTAGGAACACACACTGCTTTCATCAAACAGGAAGCGTCTGAATTATTTAATGTTTTCTTTCCTAGATGTTCAAAATGGGCAAAATCTTCTGTTTTATTATGCAATCCTGTTTTCCTCTGCAATGCTACTTTGATGTACTTTTTCTCATTTTAAAATATAATAACATATTGATGAATTAGTGTTTGAATAAAGTAAATGATAGAAATATTATAATTTTGGACCCTGGGAAGGGTGAGTAAAAGCTTCCTCTTTTACTGCAGCAGGATGTTCTCAAACTAAAAACGCTTAAAATATTTCATGTAACTCAGTGAATTACTGAGGAAACATATTGCACATACAGAAAAGATAATTTTATACTAAATCATCAGTGACATTATTATTAGAACCTATGCTGTCATTACTTTGCTACTAAGAAAGTAGGTCTAAAGACTGAGATGTTAATTATGAAGGTTCATGTTTGATAAACACTTTACTGTAGACTCAAGACAGGCCTGTGAAAAACCCCTGGCATTTAATAAATGTTCCTGTTGCTATGCTCTCTAAAAGGGTCCAATGGCAGATAACCAGACCCACAGCATCACTGATCGCCCACCGTGCCTAGCAGTGAACATCTAACCAAAGCAGGAGGTTCCAGTAAGGAAACCCCTCACTCCTTTGTTAACAAATTCTAATGTTGCTGTTATTGACTCAGTTAACCAAGATACATAAATATGCTACAGTTCTCTAAATTAGCTTTTAGATTTTTTTTTATATACCTCTGCCGTTTAATGGTGAAGAGAAAATGGTATTTATGTCCTTTCCCATTTTCAAAATAGAGAAGCAGAAAGGCATTGATTAATAGATAGACATTCCTGGAAACATAAAAAGCTTAAAAAGAAAATCTACATGTCTACAAAAGGAGGGTACAGTTACATTTATGAAGAAAATTTGACAAATGGCTTAAATTGAAACTTGCACTATATATTTTTTCTCCAGTTTAATAAAACTGGATAGACTCTAGATGTTGGATTATTATAATAATACTGCTGCAATAAAAGATGATTATGTTTAAAGACATTTTACACATATATACAGTGGCCAACAAACTTATTCAGATCTGTAGGTTTCTACAGACTGGATCAATAAAACAACCTACCAAGAGGGTTGATCTCCAGGTATGTGAAGAAGAGGTCCTCATAAAAGTGGAAGAGTCCAACAATAAAACTAGCAAGAACCCTGAAAAACAATAAGGAACAGATTTTTATGATTTCAAAACAATAAATGTTCAATCCTTTCAGGGGGTCGTTAAAATGAAATGAAAATATTCTTTTTTAAAGTTTGAAATCAAGGTTTACATTTTTTCTAAGCCATTGATGCATCTTTTTCTGACAAACAGAAGTAAAAAAAGCATACATTTTGAAACATCTCTAAGTTCTAAAAGATAAAATATAATCCACTGTGCAACAAACAAAAAGCTCAAAACCAAACAGAATGTCCAGCAGTTATACTGCATTCAATGTGCAAATAAAAGAGAAAGATTTTACACTTTATCTCATAAACATTTTTTTATCCTGTACAGAAAATTATGCAAAACCAAAAATCCACTTTTTTGGTGCTGGATCAGAAATATCTAACAAATAAAAATAAGAAAAAAAAAATGCAATGTGTTCAGAGGTAGAAATGGTATTTAAGTTTGAGACTCTTAGCGTATGCATGCATAGAAATGGGAAATTCTTCAAAAACGTATGTGTATAGACTAAGGGTGTGTAGAAATGTATAGCTTGTTAATTTATCAAATAGCAAACGTAACTAAATGTTTGCAGAACATCAGCTAAATAATAAAACATTCCACCTGTAAATTATATGCAGAGACATTTGATTTTCCTCCACCATCACATATCCAGACAGTGAGGTGGGGGATAAAGAGCAGCGGAGGCGGGGCAGCATTTTGTTGTCCTCTCTCGCCTGTCAGTTCAACAGGCAGCTCATAGATTTGAAGCCACACAGGGCCCTGGGTGAAAGCAGTTAGAAGACCCCTGAGCGACTCTGCCACCCCCCTGTTGGCTTCTGCAGGGAAGGGCAGACAAAAAGTGATCTGATTTTCAGTCTGAAGCGTGTGTTTGGGCTGAGGATTGGCAGAGTGCTTTCAGGGGTTTCTTCCTCAATGTCAGCCAAAACAGTGAGTCCAGCCAGAGTATCCTGTCATGACAGCACAGCTCAGGAGATGGATTGGCGGGGGTCAGCAGGGGGATATGCCACTGTACGCCTCTATAAAAACACATGGACGTGCTTTGAATGTTGCTGGAACATTGAAATATAGGCTGGGGGTGGAGGCTGATGGAAGAAAGGCACAGCCAAGGAGGAAAATGTCATTTGTTTAATGGAATCATGAGCCAATTTACTCCTCCTCTTCCCTGGCATTTACAATATGAGACTGTTGGTCCTTTATCAATTTGTTGGTGCAGTTTGATTGTATAATTTAGAAGTTGAGCTTTTTTGTTTGCTCTTGTAAAGGACAGTTGTAATATAAATATTTCAATACATTACTTTGATGCTAATTAAATCCAAATCGTATATTTTTTCTACTCACGCTTTCTTGTCATTGGGAGCCTTAGTCAGCAGCTCTTTCTTCACTTGGTCTTCACTGATCTTTTCATCAACCCCAATTAGAAGCTTCTGCGCCTTGGCGTCCACATCTCCCACATCCACCCCTCCCTCATGGTGAAACAGCACGTAGTCCCCCTCCCGAGAAGCATAGATGCACATGTAGAACTCTTCCTCCTAACAGGTGGAATGTGGAAAAAATTTTGGTGCACAAGTCCTTTGGTTATACACTGCCTCAGATCCATCCATCCATCCATCCATCCATCCATCCATCATCCAATCCATCCATCCATCCATCCATCATCCAATCCATCC